CGGAGAATGCCACATGTGTGGAGGGAGGGGGGGTGTGGGGAGTAATGTCAGAAGAATGCTGAGCTCCTGCGCTGCACTGTTCAACTATGTGGCTCTGAGCTGTCTTACCAGAAGCCTGAAACATTCAAGTGATCAGAGGGGGAAAACCACAGAGTGTTTCAGCAACAAGATGACCTCTAACCTCCAACTACTAAAACATGCAGTATAATAAAATAATTCAATTAGTAACTATAAAGTGGAAGCTGAGATAATTCTCACAGGATGTCACTCTGAAACAGAGGGTGTCAAAACAGTCAGCTGTGCTTTTGTTATGTCCCTTTGTGCTACAACTTACATGAACCATCAGTCAATCCAAGAGTGGGAAAAGGGAAAGGATGGTGTGTGGGTGCTTGGGGGAGGGGAGGCTGGGATGAGGGACTGTGCTATAAGGTCTTTAATTACAATACAGCAGAGTAAACTGGGCATAAAAAGAAGGTACAGTTGTTATACTTTAGCAGCTCCCAGTGCTAGGAAAGGAATACATTTATTAAGTAAATGAAAGCAGAAGTGCTCAGTATAGGATAGATGTGGATATCCAGATGAAGAAGAACACAATAAATTAATAAATTGGAGGCTCAGACCTAGGCTCAGTCCTGCAGCCATTGCTTAGGCACAGCAACTACTGGAACAGACTAGGCAGTACTCAATAAGACAATGAAAAACCTAAGGAAAATGCAAGTAAAAGAATGTTGGGTAGCACATTCCTTGTAGAGGATCGCAAAGCATTTTTGACATTCTCATTAAACTACAATGTATATGAAGTAGCTATTATTTTACCCAAGCTGCATATGCAGCAATAGGGGCAAGGACTCTCCCTTCCGACTCCTGCAGTAACAGAGTGAGGACCTGGGCACAGGACATAGGCATTTGGACACAAAACAAATGAGCAGGGCTACACAAAGCATAGTGGTGGTAGTGTGTTTGCGTGGGGAAGGGGGGAAGTTGTAAGAGGTAGTGGTCTGACTTCCAGTTTTGCTTTCCAACCACTTGAAGACACTGGAGCTGTTTTTCTCCAATGGTGGCATAGGAAAATGGTTTAAAATGACATTCTATAGGAAAGAGCTCCAGAAATACAAGGCTAAATTAAGCACAAGGTTATGTGCTTTGTGTTTTGCCTAAGGGGTGTGGTGGTGGTTACCATAGGTAGGTAACAACATCCCATTAGCTTGAAGCCTCTCTCTAACCTTTCTTACAGGATGTTTCAATTTATGGAGAAAATATTCATGGCAATACACACGAAACAAAGAAACAAGAACTCTTCTACCCCCCAGCAATTTGCTGCTCCATGCTGATGCAGTCAATCCATCCTTATCTCATAAGATCTATTTAATGACTCCATTAAATGACACCATGATGCACAATGGTTTTAAGTACACACATAAAAAGGCTCCATTAAGCATAATTATATTAATTTGGTAGTCAGTGGACTTGTCTACATGTCTACATGTTCATTAATTATTACAAGTTTAGTACCTGTAATAACAGCAGTGCCGGTGCATGCTTTTTTTGTGACACTAATGCACAATACACTAATTCTACTGCACATTAGCATGGCAGACAAAAACTGTGATAAAGTGCTAATGCACAACAGAATTAGTCTACTGCTCATTTAGTGTTTCATGTAAATGTGCCCAGTTACAAGTACTTAAAATGCCTACTTAAAATGCCTACACCAGAGTAGCTGTGTAAGTTCCTAACAAATAATACCAAGGACGCCAAATATCAAGCTTAGTGACAGAGGTAGAAGAGTGTACTTGTTACTGGCCATTAAAGTTCAAGAAGAAATTCTCTAAACTCACGTTATCAGTTATGCCACATTCTGAGTGGGAGAAGGGTCTTCAACCCACAAGGTCCTGAACGTTATAAGTTCCTAAAGGAAACACTACCAGGATAATGTTTCCTACTGCCCAGCACTGAAGAATAATTCAAGTACTAAATACCATCCAGGACAAAAGCAGCAAGTAAGTGGCATCAAACATGGTTTGGAACCAGTAAGACTGGGTCTGCTGATGGAACCATTTAGAACTAGCCCATGCTCATAGACGTGGTACAAGGTTTCTTGGAAGAGTCAGATTTAAAATCAGACTATACAGTACATTATAACCATATAGAGTAGGGATTATCCTCTCCTTGTGGGGGGAGGGGGTGTGATATGGACAGGCAGTTTCCCCTGAAGTCAATATGATTTTTTTATGACTTCCACAGGCTTTGGATCAGGCTTCACAGGATGTCATAGATAAGTTCCCACCCGTAATATCTGCAGTCCTACGAAGATAGAGGAAAACTATCCTGATGGTCATTTCTATTAGTGTGTAAAGTAGTTTCCC